GAGGACTCGTGAGAGCTTGTCGGACGGTTTTTGGTTCAGGTATCTTACTGTCGTTGCGCTGTACTGCTACTGCAAATCCCAGTATCTGCAATCCTGTTTCTGTAAAACGCGGACGTTCTTCGTTTGCACCTGCGAAATTTTCTTCTGGTCCTTCTTCCCCCCAATTTCGTCAGGTGTAATACGAACGGCTTCGTTGGAGACGACAGGCATTGGTTGCTGTTGGCGATCGTGTTCATAACTGAGACGAACTTCGCGAACATCATCCGGGTCAGCATCTACAAAAGGAATGAATTCAGGTATGCCAGTCGAGGTTACAGGTTCGGGAATGTCAGTTGCAACAGCTTCGGATGCTTCAGAAACTGCTTCGTCCTGTACATCAGCTTCAGCCTCGTCGGTGGTAAACGCACGCGAGCTTTCGAACAGCATGGCAGGGTTTGTGGCGGCTGCCTGGTGGGCACGAAAAACGGGCAAGGTGAGTCTTTCATAGAAAAGACAATCACGTGATGGAACGATTTGATGGGAGCGAAGATCCAAAATCTTCCATGCGTGATACTGTTTTTCGATGCCGAGATGTCCCCATGTTTGCCCTTTTGCTCGTTCAGAAAAATTTGCCGAGAGCTGCAGTTGGAGGACGAAACTGTACAACACACCCAAAAACTCGTAAAAGTTTTGTGCTCCCCATTGTACGTGTCCACTGCAGGTGTGGAGAAGAGAACTCGGGCAGGGATGTTGAAGAAAGAAGATTGTGTAACAGCACGGTGTGGTCCATCGCATACGGCCAAAATTGCGGTGGAAGGGCTGCCTGCGTCAGTAGAGCACGCATCTTCTCCTGCAGAGTCCTGTTCATCCTTTCTGCTACCCCATCTGTTGGTGTGTATGTGGCAGCGACTGCTTCCGTTTGATGCCGAGTGTCTGAAGGCAGTCGGTGAAGTTGTTGCTGGTGTACTCCCCTGCACCATCGCTCTGAAATTCTTGCAGTTTCATTCCTGACTCTCGCTCAGCGACAGCGAAGCCACGCGACGAAGACGGAGTGAGCGAGATGGCGCGCAGGTAAGTTAGCTGTCCAGACATAGCGTGTAGACGCCTCGATGAAAGTGATCACATACTTCTCGTCTTTAGGGCCTGCTCAGACAAGGTGAGATATGTCGCTGTAAACTTTCTGCATCAGTTTGTAACGAGTTGAACCAGGAAAGTGGCTTGGAAACGGATCATGGGTAAGGTTGGCAACTGGACAAGTGGTGCAAACCGTCGGACGAGGCTGCGGCTTCATCTCCGTGCCATCGGGTAAAAGTAAACTATTTTTATCAAGAACTGCTGCTCGGATTGAATGATTAAGAATCCCTTGTGATGGATGCCCTAACCTTTGATGCCATGTATCTTCCGTGGCTTTGTGTCCTGATGATCGCAGGTAAAAATCGGAGTTAGTATAAAAGGAAGAAAGAATGAAAGGAGAAAGAGCTGGTGACTTGTCAATTTCTCCTTCAACGAAACGGTGAAGTGGTAATGTAACTTGTGTTATTGCTGCTGCAGGTGCGAGTATAACCCCTGATACTGCTTCTGTTGATGTCGTGGTAGGTATTTCGGCGGCAGCTATTGTTGGACTCAGCTGTTCAGCTACTGCTTCCTGTTCTGCTTCTTCAACGACGTCATGTTCATCAGCTGCAAGACCACTTATCTCCCCCCAAAGTGGTGCTTGGAGTCCCTTGGAAAGGCTGCACGAGTGTTATAAAACGTTCGCCACGCGGTGGCGCTTTCATCAGCGGTATTAAACTCCCAGGTATCTAACGCAGTAAGTACGGCTGCTGCAGTTCGAGAAGCTGTTGGTACAGTTGTTGCTCGAAAGTCAATGTCTACGTGTTGATAGTCTGTTTCTTCGGGGTGATCCCAGGGACCAAGTGCAAGGACGTGGTCAGAATCGCCAGAAGTTCCTGTGCTGCGAATTGAAGTACCGACACGCCATGTTGAGTGGCGGCACGACCAAGGTAGGTATTAGTTGTACTGTGCCAGAGCTCTTGATCCATCGTCTCACAATTTCCTTGTGTGCTGATTTTGTGTGCCAGGAGTTGAGCTGTGGAAAGAAGGTTGAAGCCAAGACCGGCGACGATAAGAACATTCGTAACATGAAGTGAGTATCCCGTGTCGATAGATTCGAGCATGACACTGCCAACTGATCGTGCCATTATTGTTTGTCCGTTGGCGACTGTGACAGGTATCGGACGACGAAGCGGACGCTGATTCGTGATAAAGCTTGTTTCGGCAGAACACATATGCCATCCGCAGCAGCTGTCGAGATACCAGGTATTTGGTCCTGAAATTATGCGAGCAAGGTTAGCGTAAACTTGAGGTAAAGGAATGCCTTCAGCACTTGTTGGTTCTTCAAGTCGTGTTTCAAAATCCGTTTCTGAAACATCAACTGTTGTAACACATCCAAAAACTCCTTTTCCTGATGTGGCAGATGCGAAAATCGGCGAGCGCTGCTGCGACGTTGATGAACTCTGCTGCGGTTTCGGTATCTGCTACTGCTGAGACGTCAACTGCTGCTGTGGCGGTTGTGTCTTTGGTGACTGCTGCAATCGGTGATACGGCTGCGAAGTGCTGCGACGTTGATGACGGCTGCGACAATTTTGGTAAGTATGTCCTGGTTTCTTACAGAAATGGCAGAACGGATACTTTGGTGGATGTCGATGCTGTGTTTCTGGATTGGAGTAGACACTTAAATGAACCCCCCTTTTCTGGTTGCGTTGTGACTGCAGGTCAAGATCTTGTTGCTCTGCTTGAAGATAAGAAGAAATTTCAGCTTCGGAGAGGTTGGGATTCATGCGCAGGAAGGCACGCGTCTGTCGCCATTCGGGTCAAAGACCAGCCAGAAGGACCGTGAGATACATCTCACGAGGGAAGTATCCTCCGCTCTTTTCCAGTTGATCGCGTAGTGTACGGACTCGATTAACGTAGTCCATGACATTTTCGGTTGTCATCATTTGCACACTTGTCAGCTGCGAAAGGATTTTACTCACTGTTATCGTATCTTTTGCCATGTATACCCCTTTCAGATGGTTCCATGCAGTTTCGGCTGGTGTGAAACTCGAGTGAAATGATCGAACGCCAAGCTGCTCCTTCGGTGACAGGTTTCGTACAAGAACTGTATACGCCCCGCGAGAGGCGTGCAAGAAACTCTGCTGCTCCAGTTGTGTTCCCGTAACAGGATAGGTGAATTCTCCGGTGAAGAACGGCCAAAGCCCAGCGGACTGCGCCAGAAGCTCAAACTCAAAGCTCCAGGAGTAGAAGTCAACACCATTAAAAGGTATGGTTGTCTTGATCTGAGTATTGTTAAGTAGATTTGGAGGCTGAAACACAGTGCCTGGCTGTTGCTGTTGTTGCTGTTGCTGAGCTTGCTATGGTTGCTGATAATGTTGTTGCTGTACTTGCTGTGGTTGCTGAGCAGGAGAACGACCGAAGATATAAAAAAGATGCTGAAACTGCTGCGACTGCGGCTGCTGTACGAAAGGTGAGAAGGCAAACGAACCAGTATTTGGAGCTGTAGCTCCACGCATGTAACTTGAGCCGTCAAGGCTCATCCCACTGAACGCAGATGAAATTGATTGCGTTGAAACTCGTGGCTGTATTGACGCTTGCTGCTGTGTTGTCGTCTGTGGTTGTTGCTGTTGAGTTGCAGGTGCAGTCGATGGAGCACCTGGAGTATTTACAGAAGGCGGATTCTGATGTTGCATACCGATATTGGCGTAGGCTGGTGGAAAGTGCCCAGTGGCTGAGAGACCAGCGGCCGTAGTGGAGGCATGTGCTCCAGTAGTCCCAGTAACTGATCCGGCAGATGGTGCTGGTGATGAACCAGTCATAGTTGACGGTAGTCTTCATTCCAGATAGCTCTCATACCATGAAATAAATCTCCTAGTGTTGTAAAAGACTAAGTATAAAACTATAATTGTAAACACTTGGCAAACCCTCAAGTGTTGGTCCAGGATCTTTGCTGGAATGGTAGACTAGTAAGACAGCGGAAGTCTTGTAAAATGTAAAGGTCAAGGTTGAATAACCCGAGTACGTGAACTTGTGAGTAATCAAAGTTAATAAATGAAAAAGACCGAACAAGGATTTATAGTTCTAGAAAACGTACCTATTCGCTAATGTACCTGTTCGTCACTATCGCGCTATGCGCCCTAGATGATAATGAAGAGGTGCGACTGTTCGTGTGACTGAAACGACTGTCCTATGACGAGCGCTATTTGCTGACGTCATCCTACGGACTTATGTTCTACAGTAAGATTCGACACTAACTACACTTAATCGACTTACAGAAATGCTAAGTACCAATTATATCACAACAAAATTATTACAGATTCAAGGTAGGGAAGGAGGATTGGCCAAGGGAGAGCTTGTATGGGAGCAACAGCAGCACTAAGAGGCAACAGACAAATCTGGAGCACTCTGGGAATCCATGTGAGCCTGCTAACCCAGCAGATGTCACCCCCACCACATATCAATAATGGGCGGACGTTGTTTGTGGTAGGCGGTGATTGCATACGAGGGGTTGAGACAATTGCCACATAGCCCTTGCATAAGTTCAAGAGGGCCATATACCTTGGAATTAAACACACATAATACTAGTGGCTTGGGTCCAATGCATATTATCAACTCAAATGTTCCAAATCCAATAAGGCAGGCGGTACCATATTGGTTTCATTCTTGCTAATTGCAATACTTCAATATGATGGTTTTACACAGGATTTTTTACGCGATAAGCTTTGACTGCGAAACGTTGACATTTTTCAACTCGTCAGCCAGATTTCCCACAACCCGCCACACCGTCGCGCCGGCGTTGACAGACTCAACGACAGTCAGCGCCAACCATGTGGCCTGCCCTACAGCCAGCCCAAATTCGACCCTGGTGCACCACCGCCCTGTGGAACGCGTCACGAAATCCAAATGCGTGGTCCGCATCGAAGTTGAATATAAACCTCATTTCTTCACATTCCCACTCAATCCCCAAACGCAATTCCTCCTCGCACAGCATTCCACTGTTCCCAAGCCCAGCAGACTACTGTACTTCAATCCGCCTATTCTTCGTGATTCAGTCGTGCATTTGACGAAAGCAACCTGTCTCAGATGGCTCCGATCTCCCCACGTGCTGCATTGGCTATTCTTCTAGCTCTCTCTCTTGGAGGTGAGCAACATATCTATAAAAATTCCCTCCCTCCCATTAGCTCGCCATTTCTAAAGCACTGGATTTCTTTTTCTGTCCCATTCCACGATGTTCCTCTTCCTTCAACTCAAAACAGCCCATCCCACACGTCCCTCACTTGCAGCGCTCCTCGCTCCGTCCGCCCACTCCGCTCGTCCTGGTCTCGGAGTTCGCGCCAAGATTCTGGGTGAGCCTCCAATTCCCACTGCCAATGGCCTCAAATGAATTTTCATTCAGATCTCATTGCATGCGAAACCTCTCCAGGCTGACTGCGAGTGCTTCGAGCTTCTCGCACGCGCCAGGTTGAATTCTCGCTGTGCTCTTGCCCCTCTCTCTCTTCCGCGGCAACACTTTGCATGTCTCAACGAGAGCCCTCAACAGAGGCGTTTGAAAACATCAACACCCACTGAAGTTGCTCTTCTCCCTCCCACTGTTCCACTATACCAGCATCTCTCCATGGCAGTCTCACCACACCGTGCGCGGCACTCAACGCTCGCATTGGAGGCACTAGCAGCATTGTAGGAGCCAACGTGGGTGGCACCGCTGACATCAGCGTTCTCAGGAGGTAAGCCTGTTCTTTCAGCTGGTCTTTTCAGCATCGCATATGATCTTACAAAAGTAGTGCTTTCAAATGCAGTGCAGTTCTCTGTCAATTCAATGCGTTACATCTTGCAACACCCTCTGCGCGTTTTCCTGATGGGCATATTCACAAGCCATTCTTCACTAAAACCTATCCCTTCCCAACCCATGCACCCCAGGGGAGCATCCGTTTATCTCTCATACAAGATCACGGCCCAGGGCTTGACTCAGCGCCCATCCTCATCCCCTGCCATCATCACCCGCAGCCCCTGCTCTCCCTCCTCCTCCTCCTCCTCCGCCTCCGCCTCCTCCTCCGCCTCTTCCCCTCCTGCTGTTTCTGCATCCTCCTCTCTCTCTGGCGATGGCTCACTAAGCGCCTCCCTCTCGCCCACCACTGGTGCCACTGGCACTGGCTCCCTCTCCGCCTCCACCTCTCTCCTCAACTCCTCCCTCTCTGCAACCACAGGTGGTGGTGCTGGAGCCTCCCTCTCTCCCGACGGTTCCCTCTCAGGCGTGGGAGGTCTTGCCGCCTCCACCAACCTCCTCAACACCTCCGCATCTGCTGCTGGCAGCGCTGACGCATCCCTTCCCAGGGGCACTGCTTCTGGCTCTGGCTTTGTCTCTGGTTCTACTGCTCTCCTCAACACATCTGCCGGCGTCGGAGCAGGAGTGGGCGTGTCTCTCCCCAACGGCACTCTTTCCGGCTCTGCTTCCCTCGGAGCCTCCTCCCCTCTCCTCAACACCTCAGCTGGCGCCGGCGCTGGCGTCAATGCAGGCTCGGGAGGCGTCCAGGCCAACCTCGGAGGCTCGGCAAACCTTGATCTCTCCCCGGCGGGGCTTGTTTCTGGGGTGGGTGGGGTTGTCTCTGGTGTGGGCGGGGCTGTGGGGAATGTGGTCGGTTCGGCGGGGAAGGCTGCAGGCTCGGTGGTAGGCACAGTGGGTAATGTCGCAGGCTCGTTGATCGGCACTGTGGGGAAAGTGGCAGGCTCGGCTGCAGGCTCGGCAGGGAAAGTGGCAGGTTCGGTGCTTGGCTCGGTCCCCTCAGTCCTGTCTCCCCTGATGGTGCTGCCTGGCACCTGGGTGACAGTCGCAGGTGGTGTCAATGCTGGAATCAACACTGCTGCTGGTGCTGCTGCTGGTGCTGCAGGTAGTGTGTATGCGGTGGTGGGAGAGACACGCATCTCTGCTGATCTCGCCTCATCTCTCCTCGCTCGCATCTCCTCCCCCTCCTCCGCACCTCTCTCCCTCTTCCTCCACCTCACCGGTCAGCAGAACCTCATCGCCTTTCTGGAGTAATCTGGCATTGCCAGCAGGGCAATCTGGTGTGGGCGGTGCCTGTTGGGGATCGGCGTGAGACAGGACCGCAAGCAAAGGATGCCTTGATGATGTGCCTTGAGGGGGAAGCCTGAATGATGTGCTGCCGGTTGCAGGCTCGTTCGACTTGATGGAATGTGCCTTGCCTTGCCATGAGAGGCGGGTGGCTGTTGTAAGGGTGGGTGATTTTTGGAGGGGCGGATGGCTGTTCATGTCAGGTGGCTGCTGTAGGGGCAGCTTATGTTAGCTGAGGTTGGTTTGGCAAGCAGGCACATTCTATCAAGTTGAATGTATTGTGGAAAATTAGTTGGAGGGGAAGAAGTCATTGCAGATAAACCTTGCTTGATCTTGTTTCTGCCCCACGTGTACTAACCCATTTCATACCCCATGCCATACCCCATGTCATACCCCATGTCATATCTCATGCCACAACCCATCTCACCACCACCACTGGCACCACTGTCAGCACCACCAGACACAGCATCAGCAACACCGAGGTGACTTCTGAGTGGAGTCAAAAGCCATGTGCTAGCCCATGTCATATCCCATTTCACACCTATTTCAGCATCACCAGACACAGCAGCAGCACTGTCGCTGCCAGCACTCGCAGCTGGACTAGCAAATCCTTCTCTTCGAACAACCCCTCCCAGGATCCACGTGAACCCCAACCCCAAAACCACGACGACCCCCCCCCACCAACATGCCCATACGAGGCAAGGTGCCACTAGCACGCATGCCACCATTCCCAAACAAGCTAATGTGCCGCTAGTATGGGTTTTCCCAGTAGCAGCTTCAGCCAAGGCAACAGCATTAGTATAAGTGGCAGCATTTCCAGCCACAGCAGCAGCAGCTGTAGCAGCAGCTACCAGGCGGAACTCCGAACCCGCACAAGTATCACCCGGTTTCGCTCGAGCCCCTCCTGTACCTCCTGCTGCTGAACCAAACCCTACGGCTCAAAGCGACCCGAGCTTGCTTGCCACAGACGCTCTCGGCTGCAGCGAATTGCAGCTCAAATGCAGAAAATCTGGACGGAGAGGGGGAGGGGGGGGGGGGGAGGGGGGGGGAGGGGGAAGGGGGGGCTGCCTGGCAGGGTGACTTTGAATTTATGGTGGACTGGTGTAGCTTCTGATAATCCTCTGTCCGCCTAGTGAACACAAACACAGCCCCGGACATCCACCTCCAACCCCTCTACCTCGCCCTCCAAAGCCGGAATCAAAGGCCCCATAGCCCCTCACTCCCCCTCCATCACCACCTCTCCCTCTGCCTCACCCTCCTCTTCCTCTTTCTATTTCCCCTTCCCCTCTTCCACTACCCGTCCCACCTCCTCCCCCCCTTTTTTCCAGACCCCCTGGGTTTAGCCCCATGTCTCAAGGAGAAGGGGGTCAAAGGGAGGGAGAGGAGGAGCCCCAAAGCTGCTGGTAGTCGAGGAGAGAGAGTGGGGATGATATGGGAGTTGAACGGAGAGGAGTGTGCAGGTGATTCTGCTGGCAATGGAGGGAAGAGTTGGTGAAGAACAGTACACACCATCCTATAGCTTACAGGCTATGTGAACAGTCTTACATGGTAACCCTACATTTTTTCATCATGCACCTCGGGTACACCATTGCTAGTGACCAGCGGCTGCTCATATACAAGCTGATTTCAAATGGGTTGCTGGGGGATGCCTTGCATGATAGATGATTCTGCCAGGGTGGAAAACAGCTCCCCTTTGCCACCTGTGAATGCGCTTGCATCGCCCGCTCGACGGGGAATGGCTGACTGGCGGTGACGGCGCAAGCCTGCGCAGTTGGGAAGGGCGGACGGGAAAGGGGCGCTTATTGCATCTGCAGTGGAGGGGGAGGCAGGAGTGGCAGAACTGGGGGATGCACTGGAGTGGCACGAAGGTAGGAAGGCGAGAGAGGGAGGAAGAGGAAGGGGTGTGAGTGGCAAGAGGACAAAATGGCTACTAAACCCTAGTAGGGTGTTGCCATAGGCTGCTCTTGTTACCAATCATAGACCTCCTCTCAAGACCATTTGTGGGCTCATTCTCCCATCTCCCCCTGCCTTCACCTTTCCCCACTCCAGTTTCAGTACGTCTCCTATGCTCCATGGCACAGAGCCCCAACTTCTGCTGCAACTTTCCGCAAACTGGCTGCTTATGTGACCACCGAGATCAGTCCTCAAGATGCCCAAACACCCCTTATCTCCCTGTCCTCGAAATCTCACATTATGCCTCGCTCTCTTCTCAACAGATCCCACAGAGCAGTGCCCTGACTTCCAGTGAAACTGGCCGAGAACCAGATTCTTCTTTACCACCCAGGGAAGGGCCACCAGGCAGTAATCAACACTTCCTACACCAACCGCCCATTCGATTGCTGGCGGATCTGTCGCCGCACAGAGCACGGCGTGTTCTTGATGTTTGAAATGAAGAGGATTCTGTTGTGATATAATTCATACTTAGCATTTCTGTAAGTCGTTTATCAATAGATAGTGTCGAATCATACTGTAGAAGATAAGTCCGTAGGATGACGTCAGCAAATAGCGCTCATCATGAGGACAGTCGTTTCAGTCATGCGAACAGTTGCATCTCTTCGTTATCATTTAGGGCGCATAGTGCGATAGTGACGAACAGGTACATTAGCGAACAGGGACTTTCCTAGAACTATAAATCCTTGTTATGCCTTTCCATTATCAACTTTGATTATCCACAAGTTCATGTGCTCAGGTTATTCAACCTTGACTATCATTCTTTTACAAGACTTCCGCTGTCTTACTAGTCTACCATTCCAGTAAAGATCCTAGGCTAACACTTGAGGTTTTCCAAGTGTTCGTGTTAGCAGATTCTATACTTAGTCTCCTGCAATACCTGTCAAATTTGAAATAAATCTCCTAGTGTTGTAAAAGACTAAGTATAAAACTATAATTGCGAACACTTGGCAAACCCTCAAGTGTTGGTCCAGGATCTTTGCTGGAATGGTAGACTAGTAAGACAGCGGAAGTCTTGTAAAATGTAAAGGTCAAGGTTGAATAACCTGAGTACGTGAACTTGTGAGTAATCAAAGTTAATAAATGAAAAAGACCGAACAATGATTTATAGTTCTAGAAAAAGTACCTATTCGCTAATGTACCTGTTCGTCACTATCGCGCTATGCGCCCTAGATGATAATGAAGAGGTGCGACTGTTCGTGTGACTGAAACGACTGTCCTATGACGAGCGCTATTTGCTGACGTCATCCTACGGACTTATGTTCTACAGTAAGATTCGACACTAACTACACTTAATCGACTTACAGAAATGCTAAGTACCAATTATATCACAACACTCCCCTTCATTTCTGGAACGTCGATAGTGTCACTTCTTGAAGATTCCGCAGAGCTTGTTACAGTACTGAAACTTCTGTTGTGTCAGCTTCTTTGTGAGAAAATCGGCAGCCATTTCGTTGGTCGAACAGTAGACCAATCGCATCCTCCCCTTCTCGACTTCATCTTTGACAAAAAAATAACGAAGCGAAATATGCTTCGTCCTGTTGACGAAACCAGGTTGATGTGCGATGCGAATTGCACTTTGATTGTCGCACTGTAGGGTAAACTGAGTAGTTGTCGTCAACTTCGCGTCTTCTAATAGTTCCTGTAAGTAAAGTCCTTTGCGTGTTGCTGTGCAGACAGCAATAAAGTCAGCTTCAGCAGAGGAGAGTGCAATCAGCTCCTGCTTCGTAGAATTCCAAGAAATTGGTCCGATAGGTTCCAGTCGATAGATGAACCCAGTGCGTGACCGTCGATTAGTAGAATCACAGCGTGATCGGCGTCGACAAAACCATGTAGATAGAGTGTCTTACAGCCGATAACGTTGTAGACTAATCCGACGTCAGGTGTCGAGATAAAATATTGAAGCGCACGAAGTAGATCACGCTGATGCTCCTCCTCAGGACGGCGTAGGAACTGAGCAAGCTGACTGGCCTGCGTAGGCTAGATCAGGACGACAAGTGACAGCGGCGAAGAGTAGACAGCCTAGCTGCTGCTAATAGATCTGTAAACCAGTTGAAGTTAACAGTGCCGTGTTCGGTTTGTGGTCAGTCGGTAGTGAGCGGTACGGTGTAGAGACTGTAGTAGGTGTGAGGTTAAAGCGGGCAGCGAGAGTTGCTGCGTACTTCGAAGCGGTGAGATGAATAGTTGTCGGTGAACAGGTAATGTTCAGTCGAAGAAACTGTGAAACTGTTTCGGAGACGGTAAGCTGTAGATTTTTCTGTAATTTCAGTATAAAGGTTTCGGCAAGAGAATCTGTAGTACTAACGTATAGGATGTCGTCGACGTAGGCAACGAGTAAAATGTAGTTGTTGCCGTCGGTCAGTCGATACATTCCCTGATCATGCGGTAACTGTCAAAATCCAGCAATGATCAGCTGCGAGTGTAGATACTGCTGCCAGAGCCGCGGTGCCTGTTTAATGCCGTACAGGGATTTCCGTAGACGGCAAACGCTCGGTGGGTTAGTAGTATAAGAATGCGGGTACTCTACCAGGATAAGTGCGTCGACAGGCGCGTAGAGAAACGCATTCGAGACAGTCGATTTGTCGAAGTCGGAGATTACGGCAGGCGGCGACACAAAGCAAAATCCGAACGCTTGTATGTCGGCCGACAGGAGCAAAGTTAGTTCATAGTCGATGCCGTAAGTCTGCTCGAATCCGCGGACGACCCATCGCGCTTTGAACTTTTCAAACGACCCATCTGCATTAGTCTTGACGCGGAAGACCCATTTTCCGGTAAGTACCTTCTTCCCTTTAACCTCTGAAGTCGGGATTAAATCCCATGTACCACGATTTTTGAGTGCTGCTAGCTCCTTGTCCATGGCTTCGCGCCATTTTCTCGGTGAGGACTCGTGAGAGCTTGTCGGACGGTTTTTGGTTCAGGTATCTTACTGTCGTTGCGCTGTACTGCTACTGCAAATCCCAGTATCTGCAATCCTGTTTCTGTAAAACGCGGACGTTCTTCGTTTGCACCTGCGAAATTTTCTTCTGGTCCTTCTTCCCCCCCAATTTCGTCAGGTGTAATACGAACGGCTTCGTTGGAGACGACAGGCATTGGTTGCTGTTGGCGATCGTGTTCATAACTGAGACGAACTTCGCGAACATCATCCGGGTCAGCATCTACAAAAGGAATGAATTCAGGTATGCCAGTCGAGGTTACAGGTTCGGGAATGTCAGTTGCAACAGCTTCGGATGCTTCAGAAACTGCTTCGTCCTGTACATCAGCTTCAGCCTCGTCGGTGGTAAAACGCACGCGAGCTTTCGAACAGCCTGGCAGGGTTGTGGCGGCTGCCTGGTGGGCACGAAAAACGGGCAAGGTGAGTCTTTCATAGAAAAGACAATCACGTGAT